TAATTCAGAGTTTAGAGGAAAACCTTCTTTTAGCGGACCAAAGACTGCATTAACTGAAACGAAAAAATAGTCTACTTTTTATAGAGATTTATATTATGCATTTCAGGTGCACCTCTGATGAGTAGCTTCAAAAGAAAATCGAGAATTAACAAAAACTATACTAACTACATTGCCTCACACTCTAGCAGAGAAAGTGGATTCAACAACAATGGAAGAGAAAAGCATTTTAAACAGACAAATGTACAGAAAATTATCTGAAATGCAAATAGAGATTGTGACTGCCTGAGAGCAACACTATGCTGAACTGAATGCGGAAATAGTAATAACGAAGGTGATTCTTTCACCTTCTATATCTTGCATAAAGATTGCAATATATTTGTGACATCCTCCTTCCATTGTGAAAATATGAAACAGACCTGCCATATGGAAAGGTTACTGGATAGCAACAGAAGTCACTAAAATGAACACAATTAAAAATGTTAAACCCTTAAAAAGGTTTTGATTTATTAGAAGAAAGGTTGTAACAGTGAACAGGGCTCATGTCTGCTATACATCTTAATGCAATATTGATTCCATTTTGATCGAATAACTAATGTATCAAGAGTACAAAGTGTTCCCACCTAGTATGACTTTAAGACTATCACATGGGAATGATTAGATCTTGTCCAGATGTACATCAGCAAAACTGGTAATAAATAAAACACACCCCTTGCAAAACCAATGCACTTTAAAACAGATAGCCACCATTGCACTAAAGATTTTTAAATGCATACAGTCTACTTAGAAATTTTCATTTTCCTTTATGACAACTCTACATTTTCTTTAATAAGTTACCATTTTCTTAATTATTGATATTCACTTAAACATGAGATACCAGAGGCTTACTTAAATATTGTATACAATGTTCTTGCAAAAAATTAAAATGCTCAGCAACCACTGCCTAATCATACTGTAAAAAAAGGCCTGCAATGACTCCAGATATTGTAGCCATTGATTAAAACTTTGATTTTCAATCTTTCAAAAATTTTAAAATGAAACACAGACAAATCAAGCAATTCCTAACAGTTGTAAAGATCTGTGGACTGTGTCCGTGGACCTGTGTCTGCAGACATTCTCACAATGCCACTGGGAGACCATGCAGATGCAGAACCATGGAGCACTCTGAAGAGAAGACTTGCCAGGAACTACAATCCCGAGGACTTAAAGTGACATCATCCTGCATCACTCTGATAGGCTGAGAACCCTAATTAACCCTGGATCACGCTTCAGGAAGTTGCTGGTCAACCACACAGGCTTTGGGTCTGCTCCGAGATCAGACTTCACTTTGTCTTTTCATCTCTAGTCTCAGATCCCAGCCCGAATTTGTCTCTAATACTTGCCTTCTGATTCCCACTTGGTACCACCTCTGATGTCTAATTCTAAACTGACTCCAATCCTGATTCCTGTTTACCAAAACTGGCTCTAGTGGTTTCTTCAACTCCTGCTTACTGTCTACCATCTCTAACATGTGGATTGCAGCTGAACTGTTACTGCTAGGCCAGACCACCTGTGTCCCTGACCCTTACATCTGTTTAATTTTAATCTCCATTACTACTTAAATTGTAGAGAAATGGTATAACAAACAGATACATTGTTACATTCAATGTTGATTTTAATAGGATTTAATTCTTCACAGTTTTTTGACTATTCAGCTTTCATATGTTTTTAATTTTTTTCCCTCTTTTCATATCATATATATATAGTAGCCCAATATCTGAGAGTCTGTAACACTGAAATACTGGCTGTTCCCTCTGGGCAGTGCTGTTGCCCGAAATGCTGGCTGTTCTCTCTGGGCAGCCCATACAGCATGGGGAGTGTGGGGCCCAAACGGCCGCTCGCGCCGTTCCCCCGTGGCGGCCCGGCTTAGCAGTGCAGAAGTCAGCCGAGTGCCATGGCGGGAGGGGAGAGAGGTGGGACAGTGGCGGGGCCTGGCCGTGTACGTCACCACCCCGCCCCCCTTCACCTCCTGCTATGGCGCTCAGCTGACTTCTGTGCCGCTCAGCCAGGCCACCGCGTGGGAGCAAGTGGCACAAGCAGCCATTTGGGCCCCTCACTCCCCATGTAGCACGGGGAGTGCGGAGCCCAAACGGCCATTTGGGCTCCACGGTCCCCCGAGTGAGAGGCAGGAGGGGGAGGAGAGCTGAGAGAGAGAGACCGGAGGCTCAGGAGAGAAAACTGACATGGGAGACCTGAAAATCCCATCTTATAACGGGCTAATTGGCTAGTGTTTGAAATATTTTATAAGACTCATTATCATCTTATGCAAGACTTTGTTTTTCCCTACCTGGGTTAATGTAGTTTGGTTTACAGTGTAGTGAATGACAAACGATTGTAACAATCTCAGATAACTACATACCCTATTGATTCTTCAGAATTGGTGGTAAGTTGATAAATTCAATACTGTAAACATCTTTTGAGAAAAAAAACTTGCCCTCTGTATGCATTTTATACCAACATGTGGGTATAAAATATGCATATATATGAATCTCTCCAGCATTAAAATTAGACATGGAAGAAACTGTTCCTGAAGATAATATTCCAAAGAGTTCACTGCCAGTTTTGAATTCCAGCTTGTATAGTCTCCCTAAAGAGCAAGGTACTATTTATGGAGGATTTTAACGTGAACGTGTCAAATGAATTCAGTTCTGGCAAACTCCATATCAATATAACTGTTAAAAGTCAACATCCTAGTTCTTCCATTGTTACTTGTGAATCCAAGGACAGGCAAGGTTTCAGAGAATCCTTGGATGGTAACTTCCTTGACAAAATGTAAGCACAACGCCTTAAAGGGAGCAGACACACACCACTTGCACTTATCTATACACTTGATATCTTCATCTGTGGTGTTATGTGGTAACAAAATAGTTTAGACAGTAAGTCACTCAGTTCTCCAGCACAGTCATAGTAAAAATAAACTGCATCTAAAATTCTTAGGGATTCCAAAATGTGAGAAGTTAGAAAAGCACCCGGTGACTAAATTCAGGGAGCTAGCAAAGGTGTTGGCCAGGGGGCCAAGAGAATCAACCGAGATAGAGTTTCAGATTTGATTTGGACAAAGATTCCTTACCTGCTTTCTTCTTGTGGGAGAGAAAAAACAGGATTTGAGAGAGACACAGAAGGATTTAAACTCATGCAGGACTACTATGTCTCCAAGAAATGTGGGGCATGGGAGTGGACTGAACAAAGAGAAAATTGAAAGTAAATAAAAGGAAAAGTGAATCTAGTTGCATTCAGGGTAATTTTTCTTCATTTTGTGGTTTGGTTTGAACTGCTCTGTGTGAATCTATGCCTCCCCTCCCCATTTACCATCTAGCACTATGCCAGGAGACTTTTCTCTGTGTTTTAATTTGTTTTTCTTAGTTGCTTGGTAACATCTGGCAAACAAGTATACTTTATCAAGTTTATCTTTTGTTTTGTAATAAAAAAATCACTTTTTTAAAAGGTGATGATTTGATTCTTGTGTCCTGGAAGGTCTGTCTGTCTGTCTGTGTGCATCTGCATGCCTCAGACCGAGGGATCAGCTTCTAGAGACTGCAGCTTGTTTTCTTCTTTTCTTTTTTTTCAATCTCTTTTAGGGCAAAAGAGCTTGGAGTACCCCATGGAGGAAGGTTCAAGTGTTTACTCCTGATTTTTTCACTTGATGGTGGCAGTGATTCCCCAAAATCTGTCTATTGTGAATCTGGGGGGAAGTTTTTCCAACCAGTGCCTATAGAGGCTAAGGAGGTTTGTTCCTTCTTTTTGAGCTTTGCAGGCCCTCACCTTCTGCACTCGGAGTGCCAGAGTGGGGTAAAAATAACTAAATTGTAAGAAATTCAGTGTTACCTTTGATACCTGTGGTGAAGATTAACATAAAATCTTACTTTACATAAGATGTTTATATTTTAGAACTCAGCATGAACCAGATAAAATAGGCAGCAATAACTGAAATGTTTTCACAAAATAAAAGCTTCATCCCTCTGCATGATGTAGATGTGCATGCAAAAGTTAGAAGGCACATGAACTTGTTTTAAGAATGTTTAAACTACCACTGACCACCTGTCATGCTGCCACATGCAGAAATACTACCTCTTACTTATCAAGTTTAAGGTATGTAGCCCAGCCTTCTTTTTTTGGGGGGTGGGGGAAGAAGAGACGAGGGAGGAGTGAATACATTGCATATGAAAATGAACCAAATGAGCATGTAGGTAATGCCACCTTATGAAAATGTCTAACGGAAAAGAACGAAGTTGTTCTAATGAGAAAAAGTCTAATTTTGGTTATTTCTCCCATGTTTGAAGTGAAGTTATAAATATAGTTGTATCTGTTTAACAACTTATAATTACATAGCATCTTATTTTCCAAAAAAATCTTTATGCTTGCTTAACCTGAATCATCACTCTATATCAATGTAACTCTAGGAACCAAAAAAGAATCTTTACTTTTATTTCGAGATTATTAAAAACAAATGACTATTTAAAAGCTAATTTACTTGTCATTATTCTGCAGTGCTAATAATTAGCAAGCAAGAAAGAAATATCAGGAAGAAATTGGCAGCATTTATTTGGGGTTAATGGGGCTCTATCCATCGATGTGACACTCAATGAAGGTTAGGAATGTAGTTAGTACAGTGAACCGGTCAAACAGAAACTAAGCAGCTCCAATTTTTATACTATGACTTTCGAAGAAGTATTCTTAACTTCAGTCTGGAAAACAGTAATATATAATTTGTCAGTGCAACTTTATCCTTCAATATTATTTTGCTGATTGTGGAAACTACAAAGCTACTGTTTGGCAGTCAGAGTTTAAGGCCAGAAGGAACCATCAGATGATCTAGTCTGACCTCCTATTATCACAGTCCACCAACATCACCCAGCATGTGCACACTAAACCCAACAACTGGCAGGAATTGGTCATAAAAGAGTAGTAGTATTAACAACAACACTAATAATAAACAAACAACAACAATAAAAATACCAGCTTACCCACAAATCCTCTTTCTCCAACCAGCTTAAGGGCAATCTTGTCTGCCAAAACTGAAGAGTTCCCATGTGCAATATTAGCAAAGGGTCCAGCGTGCACAAATACTGGAGTCCCCTGACAGATACAAAAAGAGAATTTATATTCCTGGTTATACAACATCCAGAAAAGGGAACTGTCTCCATAGATGTGTACTTTTTGATATACACAGTTTTGAAAAAAACTGTGTAGGGGCCAGAGGGACTGCAAACTATATGTTAATAGATAATTTTTTTGGGGGGGGGGGGAGGAGAGGGGAGGGAATGATTAGCAACATTTCAGGGGCATATTCCAATCAGATGAAATTCTAGCTGTTAAGAAGCAATGAACAATCATTTTTGGTTTTGGGATCTTCATTGATCAGAGAACACTAAGGCCGTGTCCAGACTCAGGGGTTTTTTCGGGAAAAGTAGCCTTTTCCCGAAAAAACTTCCCCTGCGTCCAGACTCAAGCCGCGTTCTTTCGAAATTATTTCGAAAGAACGCGGCTTTTCTTTCGATGACGGTAAACCTCGTTTCACGAGGAAGAACGCCTTCCTTCGAAAGTTCCTCTTTCGAAGGAAGGCGTTCTTCAATGTAAAGAGGCCGTCTTCGAAAGAGAGCATCCAGACTCGCTGGGTGCTCTCTTTCGAAAAAGCGGATTTTTCTTTCGAAAGATCCGCCTGCAGTCTAGACGCGATCTTTCGAAAGAGCCTCTTTCGAAAGAAGCCTGCAGTCTAGACATAGCCTAAATGACAGAAATTTAAACTGCAGGATTACACACACAATGGTATGCTGTATTATATTAGTATTACTGTAGTGCCTAGGATACCATACAAAACATAGAATAAAAGATGGCCCCAGAGTCAACCTAAGCATAAAACAAGAAAACAGATGGAGGAACATCCCGAGGGAGTGAAGTGAAACAATGTCCAGTTAATAGGATGTGCTATCCTATCCAGCAGCCTAATTTTGTCAAGATTTTTAAACTTTTAAAAGCAGACCCACAATTAGGATTAGAATTAAATGAAGCGTGTTATGTAAACGCTATTGACAAAAACCTTTTGCATGAATGAGACTATGTGACAACTCATTGCCTGGAAATATCTTTAATTTTGTGCTTATAGCACTCTTTGAATGGACATGAATTTTAGCACCAATGATGTAAAGTGAAATGTTTTGTATGAAATATTTTAATGCTTCCAAGATTACAGGACAGAAGACACAAACAACCCGAGCAAAGATGGTTGCTCCTGATTTTATTTTCACTAAAATGTGTTTAAAATAGTTTATCCAGTATATGTGAGAACTAATGCCAACTACGTCTATGTTCTTAAAGAACTGAGTATGGATAGTGAAGTAATGTGGGTATTTAAATCTCCTTTACATTATTTAAAATGCTTCAGTCCTGATCAGAGAAAACAGTTGAGAAAATTAATAAGACTAGATGACTCTGCTTTAAATGACTTTTACATTTTAATGACACTATTTGTAGTCCTCACCATTACAGAATGCCAACCACACTTATCTAATCTTATCTGAGTGATTTCCAAACACACAATTACTTTTCTTCAAGCAGACAAAGCTGTACTTTAGACTCCCACATATAAAATTTCAGGATCCACCTGTGAAAACACAATTTGTCTTTGTGGGAAGATAAGTGTGTACATCCATGTGAGCGCACATATGCATGTTAGGAATGTTATTGAAAAGATAGACAATTCCCATGAACCATCTGATGGCTATTCTGCTATACATTAAAGATGAAATAGTGGCACAAGAGACAAAAAAAAAAAAGTAACAAAAGTCACATCTTAAAACAAAAAGAACGAAATAGATTATCAACAACACTATACTCTCACTCCCTGAAGACAGTGTTCCTTTACGTCCTTGAGGGACCATAGCTGTGAAACGCCAATATAGTTTTATTAATTTATGAAAAAATACTCAGCTTGAACTAGGGAAACTTTCAAATTGCAAGTGAGCTTCTAAACATATGATCCTCCCCTCTATTCAAAGTTTGTTATTAATAACAGCACGTCCTAGGAGTCTTAATCATACACTAGGCATGTTATAAAACACATAACAAAAAGATGGCCCTTGCTCCAAACAGCTTACAATCCAAGTAAAACAAACAACAAACCATTTCCTCCAATGCTGTTTTTAATAAGGCTTTTAATAGTTTCTGCATATCTAGCCTGTTTCTATAATCTCCAATTTTTCTCATATTATAGGAATAACCTGTACAACTATCACAGCTGTAAAACTAATACATCGAAGTCTGCTGTGGATTCTAGTCCTCTGAATTTATTTTTACCATGGGCTTTATTGCTCAGTAGTGTTACATATAGTAGTGTTAGCCATCTATTTTTTAAAATGACAGCTAAAGCTATCTGAAAAAGAGTTGCATAGTGTCTGCTCACAAAGCACTTTTTAAAAGTTATCATGTGTCCTGAAGTGCTAGATTCACATGACTTTAAGCAGTAAAAACCCCAAGGGGTTGTTTAATCAGTCTATTGCATCTGAGGCACCTTAAGGTGACAGACTTGTAGCTACATAAAGAGCCTGATCTTGCAGCTTTTAATCAAAGAAGGCTCCTACAGAAACACAGACCCCCCCCCCCCCCTTCAAAACTTCAGAAAATAGATGAGAGTCAATTCAATGTTTCATTCATTCATTAGCTCTATAGTCAACAAAATTCAAAAAAGCATTGGCTGGTTAGAAAACTTCGGTGCCTCAGGCGCGCACTTCAATAAATGAATTAAAAATCTCAGAATGATGCTCATTGCTATAAAAGCAACCCTTTCCCCCCAAAGGACTCACATCAGACATCTCCAAAGCTACCTCAAAAATTTATGAGAAACTCATAATGCCTCAGAATGTACAGCTGCAACTTATTTTGCAATCCATTCCCAATAAACTATATATACAAACTATCAACAGTTCTGTGTATACACTTATTAAGGGAAATTCTTATTTACCAAAAGATTGCAGAATAAAATGAGGCATGAAGCAAAATATGCAAGATTATCAATAGTCAACAAGAAGTTTATGGCATTTATTACTGCAGTCCTTGCTAAGAATGGTAATTTAAAAATAACGTGAGTTACAAAGCAAACCATATTACCACTCCACAGAGTGGTTGGATACTATCATTTCTCTCCTACATGTGGTATAAATAAATGTCAAATATTACAAGTGCAGTTCATAACAGTATCCTGCATGACAAATGTTGATAAAAAACTATGAAACCATTAAGTACAGCTAAAACAAGCCTCATTCATCAGATGTAAAAATTGCTGAAGTATGATATTTATTATAGGCATAGTGTTACCATTACCTATTGTTTAAAGCTCCTGTTTTCAGTTGCTTACAAATTTGCCAAACTGTAACAATGCTTTTGGCTGACATTTCCATGCCAGGTGTAGGCCAAAGAGTGATTTTATTTTATTTTTAAAAGTTTTGCAAAAAGATTCAGTTATCTCTGAGAATGAAATTAGGGGAATGATATTTTAACTCAACAGCTCCAACAGCGCCATGCTTTGGAGCAGGCACTGATCTCAGGAAGATGCTTTTTCTTGTCACCATGAAAAAAATAAATTTGGCGGAGTTGGAAAATCTCAGCTGACAAATGCTTAAGAGACTTGTAAAAGTTCTGCAGCTATGTTCTTAGAAGATTCTAACTGCACTTAGAAGTCTCCAGCTTCAAACCAGAGGGGCTGAGCAGTATTTTCTCTCCAACTGCGGCAGGCTACTGAAGAGCTGGGCAGAGGAGACTGTCCATCCTGTGCTCTTTCACCAGTTCCCCTGCTTCCACCCCGGCAGCAAGAGAAGAAGGATGCAGCTTGAATGGGAGGACAGGATTACTGGGAATAGAATGAGAGGATGACTGGGAGTCAGTGGGGAGTGGAGTGGTGGAAACTAGATGAGGAACCCTGAAGTGAGTACTGGAAATGGGCCAGGTATTTAAAACAAGGAGCAGGAGATGGGGTGAGAAACAGGACAGATATAAGAACTGTAAGGGAGGTAGGGCATAATCAGAAAAGGTTCACACTTCAGAGGGACAGGTTACAAGGGTTTATAATCACTGGAGCACATTTGCCACCAAAATATTCAACCCAAGATTTTAGAGTCTGAACATAACTCTGCTGTCAGCAAATATCCATGGAATCTATGATGCAAAGCACAAGTCTCTTTCTCATTCCTCTTTAGCAGTTGCTCCACATAAAGGATGACAACCTACTACTGCTATCAGTTACTCCATCAGCTCTACTACCAAAGATCTGTGCTATGGCTCTAAAAATTCCAGCACTGATGAGCCATGTATTGGGTAGGATGATTTCACATGATGGAATTTCTATTTTTTCCAATTGACTTTATCTACTTACTCATGTGAACACTACAATCAATCTGTATTGTCCTAACCAGGATTTTAACTTGAATTAGTTAATTCAAGGTAATTTGATTTAAAAAACAACAACATATTTTTGGGTGGCTCAAATTAGCACTGAAATTAATAGGGGCTCAAAGTGACACAAATTGTCTTCATGTGAGGATCTGATTGCAAAACTACTGCTGCCTTTAATACATATTTGGTTGGTAGTGAATGTTTTGATATTTTATTTCAACATGCATTTTGGGGTGAGAATAGAAAGGGAATCCCTAGGCACCTAGAGACACAGGGAAATGATGCTAGAACTTACTATTCATAATGGTGTTTGATCATGGTTATTGACAGGGTAGCAACACAAGAAGCCCTCAGTGTCAGATGGCAAAGGAGTTACAAGAATATCCCTGATTCTGGTATGTACATTCTGATTTTCAAAAGAATGTCTCAGGGGGTCTTAAAGGAAAGCCAGAGTCATACTGGTCATTAATATTACTGTAAAACGTATAGACAGACAGATAATTTGCAAGGAATTAGATATATTCTGAAAATATGCTCTGTATCTCAGCAGAAGTGGACAAGTAGGTTTCCTATCAGATAAAAATGCTTATTCAGCTGTCTCTCTGGCTAAGTCTACTGTTAAAATGTTATAGTGCTTTGGCACCACCGCTGGGAGAAAGCAGTGCCGTAAACCAATTAAACAAGGAGCGCATCAGTGGTGCTTTACAGCAGGGGCAGAGCTAGAAAGTAGCAGCGCAGAAAAGTGGCAGTGTACACTAGGGATGTGAAGGTTTAACCGGTTAATTAGTGGGACTGCCATAGGCAGGGGGCCCGCTGCAGACTGGGGCTGTTCCAGGGACGTCCTGTGGAGCAGCCTCTGTATGCGGTGGGCCTGGGCCCTCCTAAGACAGGGGTTGCTCTGATCAGGATGCCAGAGCAGGACATGCCCCACCACAGGCAGTGGCTGCTCTGGGGTCGTCGCTGGAGGTTAAAGGGTTAGCTAATTAAATAGGATTTTACATCCCTAATGTACACACGGCCTCTGTTTGGAAGGATGCAAGGTAACATAATGGAAACATATTTACATGCAAAGTCAACAAGGGGAAGACACTGTGGGGGAATCTTCGGAAATAAACTTGGCCTTGATTTCATTAGAAGCATCTCTCAATGCTATAGTAATAAGTGAGTAGCTGATCCTGAACTGAATCTTACAATCATGTATATTGTCCCTCTGGAGTCAGCAGACCAGCTATTTCTGTGAGTGTTCAGTGGAGAAAGAATTGAACATAACAGGGGAATGCATCGAAGGGACTGAGGTGCACTGTTTATTAACCTGCAAGGCAAAGTGGGGGCTGGCATTGCCCAGAGGAGAGGATTTTTCTTCTATTAGAAGCGCACATTCGCACATGCCTTGATGCACAGAAAAATTTACTCTGCATATGGATGGAAAAAAATCCACAGATGGATTAAAAAAAAAAAAAAAAAGAAAAGAAGAGAGTAGAGTGAACATTGCTCACAATCCTAGGTACTTTGAAAACCATCCCAGAGTGTTTCAGCATAGCCCGGAATGGACCAGAACAGACAAGAGCCACACAAGGCCAGAAATCAGTACTGTTTAGAAGTGTGAATAAAGAAATACACAATGAAGAATAATTAAAAAATAAGAGTGGTTATCATGACCAAATGCCAATGAATCAAATAAAAGCTTTCCAACATATATAATTTTCTTTTAAAATAACACTGCAAAACAACTCTTTACATGATATCATTTCCAAACATATACAGACAGTTCTTATAGTGTGATATGAACTAGACAATACAATCAAAGCTACTTCAAGACTGATGTAGCCAAAAGGTAATCAATTTGTGTACGCAGTGTAATACCCAAATTCATGGAAGCATTTTTCATGGTTCTGGGCAATCTCTGGTTTCTGTTATTGATTGGTACTGAAACATACACCATTTACTTATACAGCTTAATGAAAGAAAAACCTTTGCAAGAGAAACCTATTCAGCTCACAGAAGGCAAGCTGCAGTGAAATGCATGGCATGCCAAACTCTATTTTAATATTATAACATTCCTTGGATGAAATGAAAAACATGTATCAAATTCCTGCCTTTAACAATAATCCATTAAAAAACTCAAAACAAAAAAGTTGATGATGTTTTGAATTCTCATGGGCTGAAGTTCTTAGAAACCAGGCAGGGAATTGTGTGTATCATGGCAATGTCTAAATATTTTTACAGTTAAGTTTTTCAGCAATAAAAACCTACTTACAAAAAAGCAGGAGAGCTACTTGCATTTGGCACAAACCTTTCTAGGATGACACAAAGTTTCTAACACTCAATTATTTATTTTTCTCAACATAAATGTCTATTAGGGAGCCAAATGAATAATCTACAACTAATAATTTATTTCAAAGAATTCTGTGGCTATTCCAATGTCCCCCAAATACATGCACTATTGAAAACATTTTTTACAAATATTGTTCACTTGTTGTGATTGGTCAGAAGTTGCCCTGTATTGTTTCTGGCAAGAGAAGCATAATCCTAATCAGATTTCTGGGAAAAACTACTGATCCAAAGAAAAATTTAAATTCTCTTTTCAAAAAAGCAACAAAACTCAATTTCTTCTCTACAAGCACTATGCCAACCAAGAGTCAGACTGCAGGGGAAAGCCTGGTCACACAAGGTAGTAAATGCAGTAAAATGTAGTAAAAGATTGTGATTGTGACAATTCACTGCTCCCTGTTTGGAACTCATGTCAAAGCCTTGAGTGAAACTAAAAGGTTCATGGAAAGCAAATACAAGACGACAATTAACACAGCTGAAGCTGATTAGTTAAAGCACGTAAATTTGCTTTGACCTCTAAAAAGTTACATGCAGGAAGAATTGCAGATGTAATTTGGAATCTTAAAGCAAGGACTAACAGGACATCTAAAAAGGTTCACAAGTTGAACTTACCTCTAAAGTCTGCATTAGGGTTGGTTTAATTGCATCCTTCATCAAAACTGCCAAAGCACCCGTTACTCCCTAAAAAACAAAGAGTACACATTGTAAGAATTCATTTTACATCCATCCAAACAGTTTAAGTTGAATGACTTTGAAATATGAAACTAAAGTTCTATAGAGAAAATTTGTTCATAAAATAAGAATGGCCATATTGGATCAGACCAAAGGCCTATCTAGCCCAGTATCCCAAAGGTCCATCTATCTCAGTATCCTGACTTCTGATAGGTACCCAACAGGAAATGAACAGAACAGGCAATATTAAAGTGATCCCTCCCCTGTCTCCCACTCTCAGGTCCTAGAAAACAGAGGCAAGGGCTACCATTCTTGCCCATGCTGGAGACAGCTATCAATAGGCCTATCCTCTATGAATGTATCTAGTTATTTTTTGAACCCTGTTTTAATCAGGGCCTTTATAACATCCTCTGGCAAGGTGTGCCCAGATTGTGCACAGTGTGGAAAAATTCTTCCTTTTGTTTGTTTTAAACCTGTTGTCTATTAATTTCATTTGATGACCCCTAATTTTTGTGTTAAGAAAAGTCAAGAAACTGTATCTCTGAATCTCGTCCTGAAGTGACATGCATCAGTAAATGTTGGGATAGTTGGTAACTCCCATTATTATTGAGCTTTTTATTTTTATAGCCTCTCTAATCTCCGTGAGCATTTCATACTTATTATCACCATCCTGAACAGGTGCTCAATTATATATCCCTACAGCTATATTCTTATTAGCACATGAATTACTATCCATAGAGATTCTATGGTATAATTTGATTCATTTAAGATTTTTAGTTCATTTGATTCAGTATCTTCTTAAAATTGCTAATGAAGCAGGGATTTAAATATTCCGTGCTTCATTAGGATAAACATGGCCACCGCTTTTTTTTTTCGAAACAGAGCTTTTTCGAAAAAACAAAACAAAAACAAAACGGCAGTCTAGACACGGATCTGTCGAAAACAAACCATTTTTCGACAGATCCTGTATTCCTCAAAAAATGAGCTTTATAGGATCTGTCAAAAAAAGGGTTTATTTTCAACAGATCCATGTCTAGACTGCCGTTTTGTTTTTGTTTTGTTTTTTCGAAAAAGCTCTGTTTCGAAAAAAAAAAGCGGTGGCCATGTTTATCCTAATGAAGCACGGAATATTTAAATCCCTGCTTCATTAGCAATTTTGATGTGCCTAATCTATATCTCTCTGTTGACAGAGAGGTGTAGTCTAGGCACTCATATAATGGTGCTCCTCTACCAGCACAACCTGTTTTGTCTCTCCAATAAAGTCTGTACCCTGATATTACTTAGGTTTGTATCAATATCCTCATTTAATATGATGCACTTTAGTTCAGCCATCTTTAGGCTTTTAGCATTTGTATATAAGCACTTTAAAAACTTGTCACTTTTTAGCTTTCTGTCATTACATGATGTGATTGAGTGGGACCCTTTCATTTCACTGTTTCTCATGAGATGTTACCCGTATTTTGTCATCTTCCATCTTTGCTTTACTAGGACATAGAGAATCTCCATCAACAGACCCTCCCTAATAGATGTCTTGGTCAGATCCATGTGCTTCTCTGCACCTGTACGCATTCCCCCACCCGAGTTTAAAAAATGCTCTATGACCTTTTAAATTTTCAGTGTCAGCAATCTGATTCCATTTTGGTTTAGGTGGACCCTATCCTTCCTGTATAGGCTTCTCCCCTCCCAAAAATGTCTCCAGTTCTTAATAAATCTATACTCCTCCTTCATATACCATTATTTTATCCATGCATTGAGACCCTGCAGTTCTGCATGTCTACCTAGCTTTGCGCATGGAACTGGAAGAATTTCAGAGAATGTTACCATGAAGTGTCCACTTGAGAAAACCCTGGCTGGGATGATTTAGTTAGGGCTGGTCCTGCTTTGAGCAGGGGGCTGGGACTGGATAACCTCCTGAGGTCTCTTCGAGCCCTATGAGTCTATGTCCAGATCTCTGATCGAACAGCCTAAATTTGGTCACCAGGACCTCTCTCCTATCATAGACTCATAGACTTTAAGGTCAGAAGGGACCATTATGATCATCTAGTCCGACCCCCTGCACAGTGCAGGCCACAGAATCTCACCCACCCCTCCCAGAATAATCCTCTCACCTAGATCTCAGATATTGAAGCCTTCAAATACTTTGAAGACCCCAAGATGCAGAGAATCCTCTAGCTGTGATCTGTATCCCATGCTACAGAGGAAGGCGAAAAACCTCCAGGGCCTCTACCAATCTACTCTGGAGGAAAATTCCTTCCCGACCCCAAATATGGCGATCAGCTAAACCCTGAGCATTTGGGCAAGACTCATCAGCCAGACACCCAGAAAGTTCTCTAGTAATTCCGATCATCCCTCCATTGACCTATTTCCCACTGATAATGAATGGTCAATTAGTTACCAAGATCATGTTATCTCATCAAACCATCCCCTTCATAAACCCATCTAGTTTAATCTTGAAGCCAGATAGATCTTTTGCCCCCACTACTTCCCTTGGAAGGCCGTTCCAGAACCTCACTCCTCTAATGGTTAGAAACCTTCGTCTAATCTCAAGTCTAAACTTCCTACTAGCCAGCTTATATCCATTTGTTCTTGTGTCCACATTGGTATTAAACTTAAATAATTCCTCTCCCTCCCTGGTATTTATCCCTCTAATATATTTAAAAAGTGCAATCATGTCCCCCCTCAGCCTTCTTTTGGTTAAAGTAAACAAGCCAAGCTCCTTGAGTCTCCTTTCATAAGACAGGTTTTCCATTCCTCGGATCATCCTAGTGGCCCTTCTTTGTACCTGTTCCAGTTTGAATTCATCCTTCTTAAACATGGGAGACCAGAACTGCACACAGTATTCCAAATGGGGTCTCACCAATGCCTTGTATAATGGCACTAACACCTCCTTATCCCTACTGGAAATACCTCGCCTAATACATCCCAAGACCGTATTAGCCTTTTTCACGGCCATGTCACAAGGGCGGCTCATAGTCATCCTAAAATCAACCAGGACTCCGAGGTCCTTCTCCTCCTCCGTTACTTCCAACCGATGTGTCCCCAGCTTATAACTAAAATTCTTGTTATTAATCCCTAAATGCATAACCTTACACTTCTCACTATTAAATTTCATCCTATTGCTATCACTCCAATTTACAAGATCATCCAGATCTTCCTGTATGATATCCCGATCCTTTTCTGAATTGGCAATAGCTCCCAACTTTGTGTCATCCGCAAATTTTATTAGGACACTTCCACTTTTGGTGCCAAGATCAGCAATAAAAAGATTAAATAAAATTGGCCCCAAAACTGATCCCTGAGGAACTCCGCTAGTAACCTTCCTCCAACCTGACAGCTCACCTTTCAGTATGACCCACTGTAGTCTCCCCTTTAACCAGTTGCTTATCCACCTCTCAACTTTCATATTAATCCCTATCTTTTCCAATTTAACCAATAATTCCCCATGTGGTACTGTATCAAATGCCTTACTAAAGTCGAGGTAGATTAGATCCACTGCATTTCCTTTATCTAAAAAATCTGTTACTTTCTCAAAAAAGGAGATCAGGTTGGTTTGGCACGATCTACCTTTTGTAAAACCATGTTGTAATTTGTCCCAATTGCCATTAGCCTCAATGTCTCTAACTACTTTCTCCTTCAAAATTTTTTCCAGGATCTTACATACTACAGATGTCAAACTAACAGGCCTATAGTTACCCGGGTCGCTTTTTTTCCCTTTCTTAAAAATCGGAACTATATTAGCAATTCTCCAGTCAAATGGAGGCTGGGGTGGGATCTATGGCAGGAGGGTTGCCTGGGGCCCTGTACTCTCTTAGGGACATCCCCGGCCCTGGCTCCGGCCCCAGCCCCGGCCCCAGCCCCGGCCCCATAAGCTTGAGTCGGCTGACAAGGACCATCTGCGGGGAGTTAGTTACAGTGTTGAT